CAACACGCGGCCGAAACTGCTAGGCCCGACCACATAACATTCATACTCTTACGTGGGTAGCAACAGCAGCAGCTTTTACCATTGCATCTACGATATCGGCTCCGAACCCAATTGCTTATGCTTATGCACTTTTTCTGTGCCTGAAACATGTCCGAGAAGTCTTTCTTTTCAATTACGGCTTTCGAATGTGATTGCAGCATTGAATCCTTGCTAGGTAGGAACCTGGAACGGAAATCCAGCCACAAACTCAGCGGGAAAAACACAACAACCCGAGCTGAAACCATTCCCTCGCTACATCCAACGCACCTGAACAACAGAATCGTGCACTGCTCAACCTTCAAAGTCGCCTCTGCTAAACGAACCTAAATTCCTGCAGCCTCGAAGCTCGTTTTGGAATACCTGTTCCATTTAATAGTCTAATGTTTTTTGCCAAGCACGCAGCCCCTTCCAAACGCCTAACGCTTGAAATTGCAAGGCTTCGGTGGTGCTGGTGGCGAAGGGGATGGTGAGGGCGAAGTTGCTACCACAGGGTAGGAGGCCTGAAGGGCGCTGGTTGAACGCAATGTCAGCTCTAGGGGTTGTAGGTTGGGATTCAGCTGTTAACATGGGCAAGATGGTGTGTAGACATCAGAGTTAGGGGATCACGGCTTGAGCAGGTTTAAAATAAGTTCACGTCCAATCAGAGCCTGGGTTAGACTGTCAGGAGGCTTCAACTCCTACACGCCCCCTCAGCGCGGCGGAGAAAGCCCAATTGAAACCGTGTGTAGGTCAAGCATTTGGCTGCATGGGGCTGACGTCCAGGATTGCAGCACTTGACATGTCGCCCTTGTCTGCAAAACTTTTTGGCATCCCATGCAACTGCTATAAAGCAACCTTTCCGCGCTATGCTTCATGGATGTTTTTTTGGTATGGCTGCATGCCTTGCATTGCGGCCTAGAGATCACGATGTCAGGACTGCGATGGGATGTTTGCCACATCTGGTTGGCGGCACAGATTGCAGAAGAAGATAATTTTGAAAACCCCCAGCCCCGTAACCCTGCAACCTATTTCCCGAATCCCTTGAAACACCCGTAGAAAAGATCCCAGCACTAAGCAGGCATATCCAGGCCCATCTATTCTCAAGACAGAGCACCTCAATCCATGACTGAGCCCTGAAGGCCAAATTCCCAAGTCCGAGTCCCCCAGCAACATACTCAAGAAGTACATCCAGAAGCCTCAGACTTGATGCCGCACTCTCCAGCCCCTGGTTTGCCACGCTCCAACTTTACCTCAGCCGTGCTGCTTGTTAGGTGGCTTATGGGGGTCAACGAGAACCAAGGTTTCAGTTATCAGGGCACAGGGATTGGCAGAAGTTTATAGATGGTTAGGTTCGGGGAGTGTGTATGAATCCTCGGACCATGGCGCAATCGTTGGCATGTGATGCCGGCGCCAAACCCTGTTTTTTTAGGCAAACGTCTTGACTAGACTGGGAAAGAGTCACGTAGCCGTTCTCGCCCCAGAACGCACCCCAGCTGTTCCTCAGTCTTCTGGGCAGGCGTCATGGGTGGCAAGGTGCTGATCACGCTTATATTGTTTTCATTACTGCAACTTCTACTACTTCTACTGCTTCTACTTCTTCTACTGCTACTACTACTACGACTACGACTACGACTACGACTACGACTGCGACGACTGCGACGACTGCTACTACGACGACGACGACGACGACGACGACGACGACGAGGACGAGGACGACGACGACGACGACGACGACGACGACGACGACGACGACTACTACTACTAGTACTAGTACTACTACTACTACTACTACAACAACAACTACTAGTACTACTACAACTACTACTACTACTACTACGACGACGACGACGACGAGGAGGACGACGACGACG